AGATCGATCGTGGGATCGATTGTAGGGTCGATGGTAAGATCGATTGTGAGATCGATAGTGAGATGGATAGTGAGATCGATACTGCGATCGATAGTGAGATCGATTACGAGACCGAACGTGGGATCGATGGTGAGATCGATAGTGAGATCGATAGTGAGACCGAATGCGAGACCGAGTGTGCGATCGATTGTGAGATCGATAGTGAAACGGAATGTGAGATCGATAGTGATATCGATAGTGAGATCGACTGAATCAGATCGATAGTGAGATCGGTTGTGAGACCGATTGTGACATCGATAGTGAGATCGATCGAGTGATATCGATAGTGAGATCGATAGTGGGATCGATCGCGAGATGTATTGAGTGACGCGTTGGTTCCTCCTGCCCCCTCACCTCCTTCTCACCCGAAGGGTGGTCGTATAGGTATGTATGTATGTGCGGTGTAATCTATGCTGTGCCATCTGGGGCGGCGACGAGGCGGCGACGGCCGCCACATAGCCGCCAGACCGACAGACGAAAGCCCAGACGACGGGCGGAGGCGGCGACGGGACGGCGACGGCGGCCACATCATCAGCCGCCAGACCGAAGACGAACAGAAATAAGAACTTCTACGTGCAAGCGCTGTTTCGGATAATCTACGTCATCCCAGAGGCCTCCTGGGGGCTCCGAGATGACCCAAGATGGCTTCCAGCTGGTTCCAGATGGCCCCATGATGGCTCCAGGGAGGCCCGAGATGGGCCAAGAGGTCCTGGCCCCTCGAGGCTCCAAGATGGCTCAGCTGAGGGCCTTCGAGAGGCGAACATCGTCAACAACCAATTGCTTCTTGCACGTCTTTGGCATTCTTCACTGTTTGGCTTCAGATGGCTCCAAGATGGGCTCCAAGATGGGCTCCAGAGGCCTCCGAGACGGCCCACGAGGCCCCGAAGAAACGCCCAAACAAACCAAGAGGCCTCCGAAGACACGCCCAAACGACCCAAGAGGCCCCGGATGTGGCCCGGAGATGACTCCAGAGGCCCACAGCTGGCACCCCAGCTGGCCACGAGCAGCCATGACCGCCCCTGAGACGGCCCAACAACTGCCTGGAATGGCCCTGAGCTCCTGCCAAACTGCGCCCAGACCCCCCCTAGAGACGCGAAGACGGCGCCAAGAGGCCCCAAAAGAGCCCCCAAAGGGTATCCCAAGACGGCCTTGAAGCAGCCCTGAGGGAGTTCCGAGACAGGTCCCAGTGTTCGGCCATACGCGTGGCGTGGCCGTGGCCCCCGAACACCTACCGATTCCGAGATTTGAGTGCTACTTTTTGTACGGTGATACCATTGGATAAGGAACCCTTAGATGAGGAATCCAGTGTCTGGAAGCTGGTGGGATCCGACTCGTGGATCGGCCATGGATCTCACCGCCGCCCTCATCGGATGAGGAACCCCCCAGGGTCTGGCGCATTGAACAATCGTCCAACTCCGGCCCCCACTTTTCAGACTCCGGCGGAGGGAGGAAGGAAAAAGAAGCACAGCTGCACAAACGGAGCCAACACACATCCGAATCCGAGCTTGGAGCAAACGACACCCACAAGGACACAACCTCAGGGCATGGAGCAGTTGGCCTGGGTATGATCTGCGACGCCCAAGTGATGCCGGCGCCCTGGCGCCACCGCCTAGCCCCGCGCAGGGCCGCCCCCTCGGGGCCGCCCCGTCGGGGCGACACACCCAGACCCCCGACGTCGTGATTTTTCCGCAACGTCGACCCCCCAGAGGTCTGGACCCCTTCCCCGGGACCGGTTTCCCGTCCGGGGTCCTTGTCTGACGGCCCCGAGGCCGGAGAAGGGCCCACGGAGGCCGAAGACATGGACAGACCGCCCGTCGCGATTTTTGTCACGGCGCGAGGAGGTCTGGGCAGGCGCAGCCTCAGCCTCAGCCTCAGCCCCACCGCAGGGGGGGCGGGCCGCGACTCTCTCCCCCCCACGCCTGCGGGCCGAAGGCGGCGGGACCCCGGCGGGAGCGGAGCGGGCGCCTGGCCGCCGCTGGCAGGGCTGGCCGCTCTGCCGAAGGCCCAGCTCTGACCGTGTGGGGGCCTCCTCCTCCTCCTCCTCGCCTCATCCTCCTCCTCGTCCTCCTCCTCCTCCTCCTTTTCCTCCCCCTCCTCCTCATTTTCCTCCTCCTCCTCCTCCAGCTCCTCCTTCTCCTTCTCCTCCTCCTCCTCCTCCTTCTCCTCCTTCTCCTCCTTCTCCTCCTCCTCCTCCTCCCTTCCGCCGGGCCTCCGCCTGGAGGCCCGAGCAGATGCGCCCGCGGGGCTCCCGACGCAGGCAGGAGCGCGGCGCAACAAAAAAAAGTCAGGACGGGAGGATTTGGGCAGTGTTCGGCCCCGGGGGGCCCTTGATAACTACCTACCAGGCCACCCCAACCTAACCCGAAGACCCAAGTTTCGGGTTGGGGGGGGGGGTACGGGTTCCACACGTGTTTTTTCGATGTTCCCCGACCCCCCCCCCAACTGGGAATGGAGGGTCCAGCTGGGCCTTCGGGTTGGGTCGGGGTGGTTCGGTGGGTGGTGACTTGAGAAATCAAGGCAGAAGCTTTCCGCAAATTTCGGCCCCCAGGGGCCCTCGCCGGGCCTCGGGGCCGTCACGACGCGACTCAGGACGAGAAACCGGTCCCGGGGCAAGGGTCGGGACTTCCGGGGACGCCGTCCTGAAAAAATCAGGACGCCGCATGTTTCGGGAATGGTCTCAGGCGTCTCAAGAAGACCCAAAATGTGCCAACACGGCCCCAAAGGGGCCCAGGAAAGCAAACATTTGCTGCGGGCTGGCCCCAGGCAGTTCCAATACGGCCCAAGACGCATCCACGAAGGACCAAAGGGCGGCAAACAACTTCACCACTTTTGACGTGTAGCTGCGCTCAGAAAATCCTGGCAATATCGACCAGGCAGTCCAACATATCCGCAAGACAACCACATCAATCCCTACGGCACCCAAGAGGGCCTCAAACAAGCTCAAGAGAATACAAAACAGAGTCCCCAGCTAGATCCCAGATGCTCTGGAGAGCCAAGAGGGACCGACGGCCGAAGAGAACCCCTAAGATCGACACATGCATGGAGACCGAAACTGCTCCCAAACGGTCAGGTAGACTCCACCAGAGCCCCGTCAAGGAACACAAGAGATGTGCCAGATGTGACGGACATCTTCATCCACAACTCCATCATACTCCTCGTCCGCCGACTCTGCCCGAAAACGATGTCAATGACACCCGATGTATCCCTAAGGAACTTCAGGGTGTCACATGTGACGGGTTTCTAGGCGTTCTTTCAAGCGTCGCAACACGGAGAAAATTCAGCGGTGTTCGATCATCACCGTCGTCATCACTGCTTTCATCATTCGACTGCGCAGCAAGACAGCCGTGGTGTCACGTGTGACGATTTTCTGGGCGCAGCTCCAACCGTCGTCACACAGAATGCATCTCGCCGCGCTCGGAACTGCCACGAGAAAGCTCGAAGACAGCCTGGGACACCCTGAAGACGGCCTCAGGTCACAGGGCAGCCCAAGAAAACCGCAAGACGCCAGACGTGTCACATGTGACGGCTTTCTGGACGTTCCTCCAGCTGCCGCCGCAGATGTATGCCGCATGTCACACGTTCTTCTTTCTCCTCCTCCTACTCCTCCTCCTCCTCCTCCTCGTCCTCGTCTTGGCTCTCACCCTGTGTCTCCAACCGATTACGAATTCACACATAAGTCCACCATCACCACAAGACAACCGAGGTGTCACGTGTGACGGCATTGCGCGCCTTGCTCCCAAATGCTCCCAAGACGGCCCCTACAGGTATGCCTTGCTCCAAGAGACCGCTGAGACTGTCTGGCAGCAGCCCAAGATAGTCCCCAGACGGCGCAAACATGCTCCGCGAGAGCTCCTCAAATTGGGCAGACGACACAAGTGACGGCCGTCCTCCTCATCGTCCTCCTGCTCCTCCTCCTCATCACCATCGTCGTCATAAGTGCCTTCATCACCCCAACGCTCAGCCACAGAAAAGCATCACGGCAATATAAGGTGGCCCCAAGACAGCCCAGGCGTCACACGTTACGACGGCCTTCTGGGCGTTGCACGCATTGTCGTCACACAGAGAGCAGGCCGCCGCGCCCGGAGCAGGCACGGAAAAGCTCAAAGACAGCCCAAGATAACTTGACGACGGTCTCAGAGAACCCCTAAGAGAGCCCAAGGAAGCCCCAAGACGACCGATGCGCCGATGCGTCACACGTGACGGCTTTCTGGGCGTTCCTCCCACCGTCGCAAGGCAGTCCCATGAAACCCAAATGAACCCCACGATAGCTGTTTAAGAAGTGGGGTCGAAAGGTGTCACATGTGACGGTCGTCCTCCTTCTTCTTCTCATCCTCTATATTTTCGTCATCCTCCGACTACTTACTCTCCAGGACGACCTCACAACAATCCAAAACGGCCCCAAGGCGGCCGAGGTGTCGCACCTGCTGTCTTTCTGGACGGTGCCCCAAACATCGCAATGCAGAAATCCGTTTACTGCTCCTTCTCCTCCTGATCCTCCTGCTAATCCTCGTCGATTCCTTGATCCTCCTGCTCCGCCGAAGGACAGCCTCACAACAATCCAAGGCGACCCCAAACGTCCGAGGTGCCACATGCGACCGCGCTCTAGGCGATACTCCATCCGCCTATGGCAATGCCGCCGCCGCCCGCAAAGGCACCACGGCGATGCTGACGATGGCCCCAGGACAGCCGAGGTGCCCCATGTGAGGGTTTTCTGGGCGAGACGGAGGATGAGCAGGAGGAGGAGGAGGAGGAGGAGGAGGAGGAGGAGGAGGAGGCGGAGGAGGAGGAGGAGGAGGAGGAGGAGAAGGGTAGGGTCGAGAAAGAGAAGGAGGAGGAGGAGGATAAGGTCGAGGAGGAGGAGGAGGAGGAGAAGGAGGAGGAGGAGGAGGAGGAGGAGAACCGTCGTCGTACAGGGTGCACCTCGCAGCGCTCGCAGCTGCCGCTAAAGAGCCCGCGCCGCGTCAAGTCAGGACGGGCCCGCCGCCGCAGGCGCCGGGTCGACTGCGGCCGCGCCTGAGGGCGCAGACGCGGAGAGGCCCCCCCCCCCCCGAGCGAGCGCATGGGAGCGGGAGGGAAGCGTGGCGGAGAGGAGGGGGGGGGGGGGGCCAGGGGGCTATCCTCTCCCTCCTCCTCCTCTCCTCTCCTCCTCTCCTCCTCCTCCTCGTTCCTCGTCCGGGTCCTGGTCCTCGTCTCTTCCTCGTCCCCGTCCTCCTCCTCGTCCTCGCCTCGTCTCATCCTCCTCCTCCTTCCTCCTCCTCATCCTCCTCTCTCCTCCCCCTCCTTCCCGTCCTCCCTCCCTCCCTCCCTCCCTCCCTCCCTCCCTCCCTCAAAAGACCTGGGGCGGCTCGTGGACGACGTCGCCACATCCCGGCGACTCCCCCTCTTCGGACTCCCCGCTCTCGGGCCCCTCGCCTCAGGGACCCGTGGCTCGTGGCCTGCGTCGACGCCATGCCACCTCCCCTCCTCCTCCCTCCCCCTCTCCCTCTCCTCCTCCACTCCTCCTCCTTCCTCTCCTCCTCCTCCTCCTCCTCCTCCTCCTCCTCATCTCCCCCTCCTCCTCCTTCTGCTCTCCTCCCTCTCCTCCTCTCCTCCTCCCCCCCCCCTCCTCCCCCCCCCTCCCCCCCACACCTTCCCCCTCCTCAGACGACCCCCAGGTGAGAACCGTCAACAGGCCTCACCAGTGAAGACCGCCAATAGGCCTCACACCGCGCGCAACAACCCACCCACCATATGGGTCTGCAGGGTTCCCGCCTTCATGATTACCATGATGCCGTCGAGAGGCACCGGAGGGGGTCGAGGTCCTCCCTACGGTCCCTCGGCCAACGAAGACGGCCGTAGGGAGGGGTGCCACTGTACCTCCACCTTATGACAACCTTGACACCTATCATGACGGCGTCAATTGCCACCAACGCGGGTTTCCACCATGAGGCCGTGAACTGGATTTCTTCCCCTGCCGGCTGACTGTGCCTGTCAACGCCAATTCTGCTATGCACTCTGGTACCCTGGCCGCCCCCCACACTTTCACCTGCCACCAACTCAGACATCCGGCTGCTTCAATTTGTTCGATGCGTGGGCCCCGGAGGTCTGGACCACTTTCCCAGGGCCGGCTTCTCGTCCCGAGTCGCTCTTTGGCGGTCTCGAGGCCCGGCGAGGGCCCCCAGAGGCAGCAAACTGCTCCAAACCTCCCGCTCTAACTTTTTCGGAGCAGTGGGCTCCTGGACTTTCACCACGGGTGCCGAGCCTTTCCGGTGACGAGTCGGCTCTCGCCGCTGCGGGGCGCACTGGGGGGTCGGTCCCGCTCCCACCACCTTGCCCGTGCTCATCAAGGGTGGGAGCACACATCGAGGTCGTGTACCGTAGGCTCGTGCGGCGTCCGCGCGCGCAACGGTCTTTGACACCGCGTCGACCTTTCAACCTTGAACCAATCGCAGCCCCGGTGGTTCAAGGTCGAATTCAGTCGGGTCCAATGGCGTTACCGTGTCCATCGGTACTTCCGCGTCGCAGGGTTAAACCTTGAACGCCTTCGCTGGCGTCGCCAGCGCGCCAACGCCGCATAATTTGAAGCCAAAAACACCCATCACCCACACATCCTCTGGCCCATCCGTTTTTGCCCCCCTCCGCCTCCCCCTCTCTGCTGCCTGTCGGGGGGGTGGAAGGTGGGTTCTCGATCCCGTCTCAACAGCCTGAGATCCAAACTGCACCCCTGCCAAGACTACGGGCATGACTTTCCTATGGACCACAGGCTGGGGCGGAGGAAGAGGAGGAGAAGGAGGAGGAGAAGGAGGAGGAGGAGGAGGAAGAGGAGGAGGAGGTCGAGGAGGAGGAGGAGGAGGTGGAGACGGAGGAGGAGGAGGAGAAGGAGGAGAAGGAGAAGGGGGAGGAGGAGGAGGAAAATGAGGGCGAGAAGGATGAGGAGAAAGAGAATAATGATGATGCTGCTGATGATGATGAGGACGAGGACGAGGATAATGATGATGAGGAGGAATAATAGGAGGAGGAGAAGGTCGAGGAGGAGGAGGTGGAGGAGGTCGAGGATGAGAAGGAGGAGGTGGAGAAGGAGATCGATGAGGTCGAGGAGAAGGAGAAGGAGAAGGAGGAGGATAACAAGGAGGAGGAGATCGAGAAGGTCGAGGAGGTCGATGATGATGCGGCTGCTGCTGATGATGATAATGATTATGATGATGCTGATGACTATGATGGTGATAATGATAATGCTGATGCTGATGATGATTATGATGATGATAATGATGCTGATGACGATGATGATGCTGCTGATGATGATGCGGATGATGGTGATGATAATGATGGTCCTGATGATGCTGATGATTATGGTGATGCTGATGATGGTACTGATGATGATGACGATGACGATGATGATGATGATGATGATGATGATGAGGATGATGCTGACGATGATGATGCTGATGATGATGATGATGATGATGATGATGAGGAGGAGGA